CCGTACTTTTAATTTGAAAGGATCAATTATCACACAATCTGGATACATATCCTGTTATACCTTTAAATTCAAAGAATCTAGTTGAGAATCGACCCTTTATCTTTTTTGTTTTACCGTTTCGTGTAGTTGTTTCTGCCGAATACACCATCGCTGTACCATTTACTTTACCTTTTTTCTAGGCATGCTGAAGTCAATAACATATAGTGACATTATGGTCATTTTTGTACCGTCAAATATGAAAGAAAATCAAGATCAACAAGAAAGGGATGTACTCAATGAACTCATTCCTAACACAAGCGCAGTTGAGCTTAATTGGCTATACATGTATAATTCAAAAGACTGACTATAATAAAGTAAATTTATTTAATTAATAATGTTATGTATGCAACATATTACATGTATATAATTTATATCTGACCAGTTGGTATTTCCAATATTATCATTGTTCTATTTTTAGAACATAAACTACATGTATGTACTAGAACTTTCTTAACTGTTGTAGAAAATTCTAGATTATAATTCGTGCATTATATTTAGATAGAAATTTCCAGATTATTCTTTGATTGTTGATAGTGCTAGATTATGATAGAACATAATAGACTTTTCTGGAATGTTCCTAGTTTATATATATATTACGGGATATTTTTCATTTGGGTACCCTTTTAAGTCATCAGTGATCTTTTAAGTCATCAGTTACCTTTTAAGAAATCAGTGTATTTGGAGTATTATTCAACTTGGATATAAAGTGATTTATTGGAGCTTGGATTATTTTAAAATAGTTTAAATTATTCTTGTGGATTTTATTGTGGGAATTTATTCTAAAGTGTTTTTGGATTTTACTTGGATTTAACTGTGTTATCCAAAAAGGGATCATTCCAGGATCAGACTAGACATTTAAGATTTCATTTTTATTTGGACTTCAGGTATTTGTAAACATAATTTGTTATTTTATTTTCTTTAATAATTTTTCTGTAATAAATTTGTTATTGTTACAAGTTTGTTGCTGGCTTTTCTTTCTCGTTACGCCTGGTTCGTAACAATAGTGACAAACTTTTCGGATAAAAATGAAAATTGCCTAAAGTATAAAAAGGCATATACATGTATATATATATATCGTTATCCAAACAAACAAGATGGCAACCGAAAAGAAAGTTTTTTCTTTTGTTTTCATTCTAAAATCCGTGATGTTCTAGTATAAATCGTCTCCTCAATTTTCTGGACACACAGGATTTTATTTCATGATACTTCGTCCCGTACTTTATCTGAAATGTGTGTCACAAGATTCGAAGCGAGAGCATTTTCCGCCGGTTTGATCGTGATAACGTTTCATTCACATTATGTATATTAACTGAAACTACTGACATTAAAAAGTTGTAATATGTCGTCATCTAAGCATTCATGTCCATTCTGACTAGAATAACCACTGTAAATATTAATATTGTAGCATTTTCCGAAAATGATAACGTATGGCGCACAGAATATCAGTGAAAGCGTATGCATATTGAAAAGTCTGAAATTATATTTAAAAAATTGATTATTTTCACTGTGAGATTTTCAAATTTAATTTTCACGGATAAATCAGTATTCCACTCAAAAGCAATACATAAATCAATATAATCTCAGTTTTATGTTAAAAATGGAAGAATAAAAATATTTTATTGGTGTCATAACAATAACCAGGTAAGTAATTTTACTGAAATACTAAATGGACAGAAGTTAATATTTTGGCTAATTATACAAATTAGTTGATCTACTCTCTTTGTGAATAAAGAATGAATAGTTTCTGATCATTTTAGCAACAAGTAGAATACTATTGAAGATATTTGTTTGTTTAATGCAAGATGAAATTTTATTTCATCGAACAGTATTCTCAGGAGTGACGTAGCCACGAGTAAGAAAACTGTTTTTAAAGCCCACGAGATGAAATAAAATAAATTACATCTTACACAACAAACAAACACATTTTCTTTTTATTTTATGCTTAGAAGTAAGTTTAAATGAATTTCCGCAATATTAACTTTAATTTTAAAATCAATATTCCCCACTGGTAGCCTCTTTTGTAGCCTTTTGTCGACTTGCAAGAAGTATTTAGCTGAAAATAAGTTCAAAAATCAACGTTAAATGGCGATGATATTTTTTATTTTATTCCAAAAACATGACTGATCCCTTGTTTTAAACAAGAGGGCCAAGATGGCCCTAGATCGCTCACCTGACCCATCGAACTCATCCGAACAATTTCCTAAACAAGCATTCTGACCAAGTTTCATGACAGGTGAGTCAAAAATTTGACCACTAGAGTGTAAACAAGGATTATCCATATTTGAGCATTGTGACCTAGTTTTTGACCCCAGGTGACCCATAGTTGAACTTGACCTAAAACTCATCAAAACAAAGTTTCAGACCAATTTCCAGGATTCTGGCAAAAACATTAGCCACTAGAGTATTAACAATTTTTTTCTATTTTCAGCTCATGTGTCCTTGATTTTCATCCGAGATAACCCATGTTCAAAGTTATCTGAGCAATTACCTAGACCAGATCCTAACCAAGTTTGGTGATACTTAAGTCAAAAATGTGACCACTAGAGTATTAACAAGGTTTATCTATATTTGGGAGGTGTGACCCCCGGTAATCCATATTCAAACTTGACCTAGAAATCATGAAAACAAACTTTCAGACTTATTTCCAGGATATTTGGATCAAAACAGTACCCACTAGAGTGTTAACAAGATTTTTCTATTGTTAGCTCCTGTGACCTTGCTTTTCATTCGAGATGACCCATGTTTAAACTCATCCGAGCAATGACCTAGACAAGTATCCTGACTAAGTTTGATGACAATTAAGTTCAAGATGTGACCACAAGAGTGTAAACAAGGTTTTTCTATATTTAGCTCCTGTGACCCAGTTTTTCATCCGAGATGACCCATGTTCAAACTCATTTGAGCAATTACCTAGAAAAGCATCTTGACAAAAATTAATGATGACTGAGGCAAAAATGTGACCGCTAGAGTGTTAACGAACAAGTGTGGACGGACGACAGACGACGGACATTCAACGATCCTAAAAGCTCACCATGAGCCAGCTTATGTGAGCTAAAAATACAAACAATTCTCGTGGAAGGAAAAATCACACAATTCGACTTTATTTCCGTTACATATGGCTAATTAATATTAGACCAGGCTTTGAGTAATTAAAGCGGCCGCCATTTTTAAAAGTTGTGTATTTCACGGGGTTTGATTCAGAGGGATATCATTTGGATTTGTTAGTCATACATCTTTTTATAAGAAAGGAAACTTATTTGAGGATTGTTACAGACAATAAATAATTGTTGACAGATGTGTAAACATTCAAAAAGCGGCTAGGAATTAGGAAAACATGGAATTGTTGAAAGGCTGTCTTACGAACGCTGGGTTGTTTACTTGTTCTTCAGGCTGATGACTGTCATTGCTTTTCAAGTTTTCATATTGCATTAGGATTTTTTACTCGTAGGATACTTAAATATTGCCAAATGTCACCACTAGCAGTTTTGCATATAGAAGGAGGTGTTTTTTTCTGACTGCAAAAATGAAACAAAAATTTAGAGACGATATTTGGTGATTGGTAATTTGAATGAATTTAGGTAAGTTATTTTCTTTTTATTACTTTTAAAATGAAAGTTTATTTATCAATTCCAACTTTGCTTTTCTGTAAACAGCCCTGACAGTGTCAGCATTGTCAGCAAAAATAAAATTGAGGTACCACATGGCGAAAATCTAAAAAAAAGGTAGTCTGTCGACGTCATTGTAATTGTGAAATTATTTTTTGATAATTTTCACTGTGAAATTATCAAATATAATTTTATCGGATAAATCAGTAATCCACTCAAAAGCATAAAAAACTTTATTTTTCGATTTGAAGATCCTGCAACACATTTTTTTATCATATATCATAAACATAATGATCAAATCACGGTTTATCAATATTGTAAGTTCCAATAAGCATGTTTTTGTAAAGATATTACCGAATTTACATTTTATGTTAATAAAGGGAGGTAATTAAAAATGTATTTTCTATAAAGTCTAAGTCAATTTTTTCAATAAGAAATGAATGCATATATCTTAATGCTTACATAAAATGTGGATAAATATTTGCAGTACATATGTTACATAGTTTTCTATGTTTGAAAATTGTTTTAAAAGCATAATTATATTTAAGATTTCACTTAAGTGTGGTAACAACCTTAATTACAAAAGGAATATCTTGTTATCGCATAAAATCGTTTTAGGAGTATTTTCGACATGACGTACTGGAGTGATTCAGATCTATTGCATGCTAAAAATTCATAAAGGAACGTATTTAATTTAATATGTTATCAAAACAAGAACCAGAACTTAACAAATATGTCGATAGTTTTATATATGTAAAGTGGTGCTATGCCTGCACCTAAAAGTATATAAAATTTTGAAAACTTTGAATTTCGATCTTCGAACTGGCTCGAAAATCAACTTCAGCACGAAATTCAAAAATATTATTTTTCAACTTCAATTTTTAAAAGAATTTTAATGTTTGATCTTTCAGCTCGTTTCGCTGGTTAGAAAATACAGAAAATTCAGCTAATGAAACTTTTGAATTTCGGTCTTGGACCACGCTCAACATTCAATTACATCTATGTGTTTTTAATTTTGACCTTTCGAGCTGAATCAAAGTTCAAAGTAAACTCGAAAATGATTAATATCGATCTTAAGTGGCTCGAAATTCACAACTTCCTCGAAATTTGATATGTAATTGATTTTGGTTTTCGATCTTCACTGTCAGTGCTAAAACTTCGCTACTTTATAATCTTCATCTAGATATGGTGATCATAATTCCGAAAATCGAGAATTCCTTAAAAAACAACAACAGCAATCAATGAAAATGAAAATGGAGAGTGACATTACCTTATCGCAGCCCGAACAACACCCACATACACACAGAAACATCGGTAAGGGACTCAGCAGGGTAAGAAACAAACAAAGAGGGTACATAAACATTTTCTTTTATTGATGAACACTATAATTTAAAGAATGATCTGATTTGTTCCAAGCTTAATAACATTACTGAATTGAAATATGACAGTCCAGGTATCATCTTACATTGCAAATACTTTCTTCATCAATGTCCTTGTTGAAACACTAATGATTTAATGCTCAGAAAATACCTGAAAATGACAGGAAAAAAAGACACAAACGTTTATAAGAAAAAAGTCCGTCAACAATACTAAATGCATATTAAAAAATTGTTTTATATAAATCGTTTGTTCGTTTAGAACAACCGTAGTAACAAGATGAGAGCAGATATGCAGACGACAGGAAATGAGACGCTGAATCCAGACGCACTGTTACACAAGTCAGACGTACACGAACATCCTTTAATACCGTCTTTTTCGTCACACGTGTCGCCTATATTTGTATCTGAACAGCTTCTTACCACAACTGTTAAATGATAAAATAAAATTATGAAAGGATATATTTATAAACAAAGAAGTTGGACGCACTAAATATATCTCAATCACTTATCTCTTATAAAATACTTTAAGATCGCCCGAGAAAGAAAATGTGGTTGTGATCGTTTATAAGCGGCTATTTCAAATACGGTTATTTCGTGGTAAAGCCATTTATAATATTAAGGCTTTAGGTTTGAATTTTCGTTCCTTTTTTACAATTTTTTTTCTATACAATTTTTTCGTTTTGACACATTGTACTGTTGAATTAAAGTTTACAGTAAATGACATAATATTAATTAATTTTCTATGAATTTGTGTATTTATTTATATATTTTATAAATAGATCTGGTGTTTACTTCTTCGTCACTTACAATCACCAACTTTGGCCTTTAAACATGATCCTGAGCACGAAACCGTTGATGCTGCGTTTTCATCGAAAGGGTCGTTACAAACTTCACACATGTAACATTTTAAAGACTGCACGCTTATCACTGAAAATAATGAAAAAATCTTTATTAAACTAGAAATGTGTCGTCCCGCCACGGATGCCCCCGCATGCAGCCAAAATTTCAACTGATAATAATTAAATTTTGTTTATTTCATTCCAAGTTCAAATTCAGCCCTTAAATTATTCAATGTTAACTAAAATATGAAAAACAAGATCAACAAGGAAAGGCGGCGTTCAATGAACGCAACCCCCATATGACCCAGCAACAAGAACCAATGGCAAGGAGCCCAGGTGGACCCCAAACATAAAAAGGACAGGGCAACGACACGTTAATCATTAAATGATAAATAATTTGTAACTGATTAGGAATTCAAAGAAAAATAATAATAGGCCCACAAAGGGGAAGGGGACAGGAGACCGGGGGAAGGGGGGGGGGGGGGGTAATCAAAGAAATAAAAACTAGAGGCAATGGGGAAGATACTTACCGTAGACGAGAAAACAACAAGGGACACAAGCAAAAGTGTCACCAAAACAGTATGAAACAACATAGACATACATCTGAGGAACACAGTGGGGCGCCGCCTTGGAACGGTCAGCAGCATAATAATGACTGCTGGGGAGTTTAAACCGGTTAATGGTGCACCAAACCTCGCTCTTAGCCCCACCATGTTCCTATAAACGAGACAGTGTAAATAAAATGAATCCCGCCAAGTGAAATTCTAACAGTTGTCATGGTTACAAAAGGTTAAATAAGTAAAACACTAAAATGATCATGTAGAAACATATAAAAGTAAACCCAATGACCATGACAAAATTACTCAATGTCCTAAAGGAAGACAGAGCAACAAGAAAATCACCTACAAGGGCCCGACGAAGCAAGGCAGAAGACGAACATTAAGACAATTCAGTCCCAAAGGGCTTTACGAACTATCCATCATAGAGTCTCCCACTTGGTCCGTCAGATGCAATCAAAAGAGGAAAGCGTAGTGTCCAACTGTAAAAGGGTTGAACACTAAACATGCAGTATGTCTTAAAATAGTAGGGTCATAACCTCTTTAAAGGGAAAGACAAGGTTAGAATAAAAACTTGATTGCAGAAAAAGAATACTATGAATAATAAGTCTGCAAATTTTCTGCCGCCAAATAATAATATTAAACAAATGATAACAAAATTTAAATTCCTAAATCACCGATTTCTACAAGTCAGTAAGCGCGGCCATGTTTGTGTATTGACCGTATAAAAACAGGTGCGCGTGATGTCATTTCCCCACATCTTTAGATTCATGATAAATCTAGTTGAATCGTAAGGAAATATTAATTAATGACCAGACAATTTAATTTTCACAGGAGGTGTAGAGGAGATTTTTTATGGTTCAAAATACGTAACAATATAAAAAAAAAATAAATAAAAAATAAAGAAACGTACGGCTAGCCAAAAGTTCTAGCCATACGTGAGTCACGAACGACTAGCCAGGATGCACTGTACGTATTGTCTAGCCGTACGGCACTTTTCAAAATTATATGGAAGTCAAACGTTATAAAATTGTTGATTTTCATGCTTATCATTTGTTGTTTTATTTGTATGAATTATTAAATCATTTTTGTTAATTTTAAGCACATGGATCGAATAAAAAATGATCGGAGTGGAATAAATAAATAAAAAGAACATTGAATGAAAAAAAAACGGTGAAATGCAAAAATAATTATATAATTTTCAAAACAGTAGATAAATATCGAACATAAAAGCACAGTCAATCAATTAATTAGCCTTGATTAAAACCTATCCAGGGACTGACAATAGAATTTTAGAATGCCTTTCACGGAACATGCAAACTTTCCTTGATGGACAAACTTCTATACAGTACCGTCGGTAATTGTCGCAATTATCAAGAGCCTAACAACAATCATTTTCAGTGTTTGTTGTTTTTTTTTCATATAAAAGGTGTCGAAAATTAAACTTAATGAAACAAAAAAGGATTATTATCAAAATTTTGTAAACTATTTCAATTGGTGTAAATGCAAGCAAAGGCTATTTTTTTTTCTCGACATCTTGCGATGACAAAGATCGATATATATATAGCGATCAAGGCGATTAATCTCTAAAAAGCTAACATCCAAAGACAATTAATGCTGTTTCTTGGTTAAAATCCTCGCTTAAAGTCATAAAATAACATATGCATTTTCGACGTCCATAAAATTTTGAAAAGTGCCGTACGGCTAGCCAATACAGCGTGTCCTTGCTAGTCGTACGTGACTCACGAACGGCTAAAACTTTTGGCTAGCCGTACGGGCCCGTACGCTAGCCACTTCCATTATAAAAACCCTACTAAAACGTGTTCTTAATAGTACATATAATTAAATTTTTGCAGTTTGATTCTGACTTTCAAATTTAAAGGTGTGAACATATGTTATAATTGATGTACACATTTCAAAAATATAAGCAACTCTTTTGAAAAGTAAATTTTTAACATGTCTGTCAACGTATGATGCTGCGCATCGTAATCGTAGCCTAATATTAACTGCAGGCAAATCATTTTAATTGGCTGCTCAAAAGTCTAATTTGCATAATTTATTCACACAGTTGCTGGTTCTTACTACTTATGTCTATTACTGCGCATTGTCCATTTTAATTGTTCCTAATTTGCACCAAATGCTCCTGTCACACTGTGTACTGACGATTTTTATTGCTCCTTGTATGCCTCTGTGCCGACAGACCTTTTCATCATGCACAATGTTGCCCTGATTGGTTAATCACCCTTGTCAAATATTCTAATGACGAAATAGACATCTATTTTTTTACGCTTCATCAGTGAACTGAATGACCTTAGGAGGAATTAGGTACCACACCTATCAAATTATACTGTAGTAAATTACAGCACGTCATAAAATAGCAACACATTTTTTTCAGTTACCAATAATCATTTTAAATATTAAGTAGATTTATGATTTTTTTGTTTTATTGGATTAAATTTACGGTAGTAGAAATGCGTATCTGTCGGGGAAAGGAATTTGGTATGTAGATATATATTGGATTTAGTTGATATTTTACCTGAAAAAAAGATACATGACCGGCGATATACCCTATTTGGACAGCTTGTCTAGCGAAAATTAAGTACAAAATAAAAGGATATATCGTCAATTTGAAGAAGTTTCTCATAGTACCCAAATTAAATTTATGGTTTATCTTTGAAAATTAAGCAGTCATTGCTTAAACCATGTGGTGGGATCATCAGCAAGCTTGAATATCGGAGAAATAATAATTAATGTCGCGGCGTCTTCAATTAATTAATTAAAGCAATTCAGTTCCATATGATGTTTTCATAAATAATAGATAATGTACGCAATAAAATTAATAAGTTCTTCATCAAGATATATTTCAGTTGTACCAGCGTGTACACCTATACCGGAAGTGGGTATTACACGTCACAATCTCGGTCTCGTCTGTCTCGCGAGAATGACAGAACGCCAAAATGGCGGCGCCTATGAACTTATTTCTCAAGTAAAAAATAGTGTCTTAAAACACGAATTTCTCTCTTATAGGGTTGATTTCAATAGGAAAACTGTCATGGTTCCTCTTTTTAAATGATGAATATTTATATTAGACAGACATCAATCATTCCATTCCTATTCCTTTAAATAAAACGTTTAATGATTTTAGTAAAAACAGCAGAAAAATTACCATGACCCAAAATCTTACGAAGTTTGTAAACCACATCGCCATAAAAACCAGGCTGGCTAATCCCTTGTCGCAGAAGAGTTTTTAAATCACTATTGAATTTAGAAATTAAATCAAAGTTACGATTGTAAAATTTAGTAAAATATTTCCGTAATTTATGATAGCGTTAGCCCTGTTTTAGAAGCTTGCTGGTAATAAAAATATTCCGATCGTTGAAATCCTTTACGTTGTTACAAGCTCTAGCAAATCTAATTAACTGAGAAACATAAACCCCGTAGGATGTTGCATGGGGTACGTCTCCATCCAAAATGTGGATAATTAACTATACAAAAGTCAAAGTCATCTCTTTTATCATAAATTTTCGTGTGAATAGAATTGTTATTGATAGTAATATGAAGATCCAAAAATGATGTACTAAAATTTCAAGAGTTCGTTTCATTAAGTTGTAGTTCATGCGGATAAATGTCAGACACCATTTGATCAAAATAAGGATTATCTAAATTAAAAATATCATCAAGGTATCTGGCCATATTTATATAAAGTTCGAGGCCATGAAAGTATTCAGTGTTAACCTTTTGCAATTTGCATATTTGTAGCCGAAATGATGACTAAATATATTTCCACAAAAGTAAGAAATCCAACGTTCAAGAGAGATAACTTTGGCCAAAATCATTGAAAAATGACTAAATTAAATCTTGACCTGCTTAGTCCTAAGACGTATCTTTATGTCAAATTTGAGTTTAAAGTGTATAACTCATGGGGAAATAATGTACGGAAACTAAACATTTCTAATTTTTCAAGTTCAAGTTCAAGAAGGATTACTCTGTGAGAAATCATCAAAACATGATGAAATTCGAACTTGACCAGCATATTTCTTTGACATATCCATATATTAAATTTAAGTTGAATATGTACAACTGTTGGGGAGAAAATGAACGGAAACTGAAAATTCCGCTTTTTACAAAATAACAGGGGCATAACTCAGCCAAAATTAAATAAACCATGACCAAATTCGAACTTGACCTGCGCATTCCTTTGTTGTATCCATATGTCAAATTTGCGTTGAATGTGTCAAGTTGTTGGGGGAGATAATGAATGGAAACTAACAATTTCTTCTTTTTTGTTAAATTTAAGGGGGATAACTATCTCAAAAATCATAGAACCTTGACCAAATTCGTACTTCGAACTTGACCTGCACATTTCCATGGCATATTCATATTTTAAATTTGAGTTGAATGTTGAACTGTTGGGGGATACTGAACGGAAACTGAAGATATCTTATTTTTTCAAAGTGGAAGGGGCTTTACTCTTCCAAAAATTATCAAACCGTTACAAAATTGAAAATAGACATGCCAAAAATCGTTGAAT